TAGTTTATTATAAGGAAATTTTAGAATTTTATTATTCTTACATGGTTTTTAAGTTCTCCACAGAAAGGTATACTATGAACCAGGAATTTTTTAAAACTATTATATAAGCCTCTGATTTAGAGCTTTAACAGAAAATTATTTATACTGAAGGAGGTGCAGACTGAGGACAGACAGAAGTAGTAGTATAATAAATCATATCCCTTAAATAAATAACAACTGATATATAAAAAGCCTTTAAGGCCAATATTTTCTATGATCCCTAACACAAACTTGTCTTATAATACAGGAACCGAATGCCAAAGGGATTTTACTTCTTTCCCAGTGCTACTTTTGTTTCTGGATGGTAATAAACTATAATGAGAGCAAGGAAGTAGTAAGAACCTTGGGAGGTACACTACGGGGAGGCAGGTATACATTACTAAGCATCTACAGTGTGTCTGGTACTTTTACATGTTCTAAGAACCCCAAGGAGTGGGTGTTACGGTCCCCACTGGTACATAAGATTGCTGAAGCTCAGGGAAATTAAAGAACTCACCTAGAGTCACATATCTGACTAATAAAAGTAGATTCTAAAGTCCATTTAAAAATATAGTATGCCTCGTTTTCTAAACAATCATAATCACATCATCTATCTTGCAGTTGTGATTTTTCACTGACTGCTGTGTCTCCCCCCTACCCCCCAAGAGACATCCTGAAAACAGATCTATATTGGATACAACTCCAGAAGGGGCATGCAGACATACACGAAAATGTGTAATTTTAGTGAAACACAGAAAGGCTACCCAGATGTATAAAAAATAAACCTGTGCAGCCATCTATGGAAATTTATTATCAAGGTGAATTAGCCTTGCTCAATAATATGATACAGCAAAACTCATCATCATTGAAAACTACCTAAATACTTAATGATGATGCAGACTATCAGAAGTCAAAACACTTGAAATTGAAGAGATCTAGGACTACTTTAGCATGCAATACACTCAGTTTCACACGCAACACAGAATGACAGAGTGTAGTTTGTGTGCTTTGGAATCAGATCTGGATTAATAACTTGGTTATAGCAATTACTGGTAGTACAAGGGAAGATGACTTTGGAAAGTTTCTCTAACCCTCAGTTTATTCATCTGCAAATGAGGAAAATAAAAGTACCAAATTTACAGGGTTATGATTTAAATAACATATATTAGTGGGGCGCCTGGGTAGCTCAGCTGGTTAAGCGTCTGCCTTCCGCTCAGGTCATGATCCCAGGGTCCTGGGATCGAGTCCCGCATTGGGCTCCCTGCTCATCAAGGAGTCTGCTTCTCCCTCTCCCTCTGCCTGCCCCCTGCTCCTGTTCTTGCATGCTTTCTCTCTCGAATGAATAAAAATCTTTTAAAAAAATTAAAAAAATAAAGGCCTGACTGGCACAACGTTGGTGCACAACAGATATTACTGCAATTCTCTAATTGATCTGGGCCTAAGTCTGGTGTGCTCAAATACATCAGGGGAAGCTGGGCCTTCTTGGCACTGTCAATGCTCCCTAGCCAAAGACCACCAGGAACATACCCATAGTGGGATGAGATGAGTTTAACACTCATTGCAGTGAAGCAGAGTGCTCGCTATGGGATAATGTGGGGTCTCTCTGAAAAGATTTTAGAGCTTACTGTAGATTTGGAGCTTTTGTTGAATGATTTTGGGGAGGTTCTAAGGAAGGAGGGGTTCACTCTAGATTGGCTACTGCCAGAAAACAGAGGCAATTCTCCAGGGAAGATAAACTCGGATAAGGATAAAGCTGCAGCTGGTAAAGAAGCAGTCACTCGCATCAGCTGGGAAAAGGAAATGTCTGGTATTTTGTGTGTGGCACAATGACCCTGTTTTGTCTGTGCTGAGACATTATAAAATGTTCTTGTTTTGTCTCATTTCATCATGGTCTCAGTATAATCTTGTCTATTGGTGTTCTGAGAAATTGTTTATGTCCAGCTTCTAACAGTACTTGAGGCCTCAGCGTCAGATCAGTTCCTGGACATCCTGGGGCAACTTTTTTCTTTCTCAGTATGTTTTCAAAATACCTAAGAGGCCAGATTCACTACGTGTGCTTAATAAGCTTCCTGGCTTAATAAAAACCTGAATTAATTTAAAAGTGAGTTGTATGTTGTAAGGATGCAATATTTCAGACAAATCACAACTACTGTTAATTCAGATGTTTGCTTCATTCACTCTTCCGCTCAATAGCAATGGCAGTATAAAAACAACCTAATTTGGGTGCCTGGGTGGCTCAGTTGGTTAAGCGACTGCCTTCGGCTCAGGTCATGATCCTGGAGTCCCTGGATCGAGTCCCGCATCGGGCTCCCTGCTCGGCAGGGAGTCTGCTTCTCCCTCTGACCCTCCTCCCTCTCATGTGCTCTCTCTCATTCTCTCTCAAATAAATAAATAAAATCTTTAAAAAAACCAAAAAAACAACCTAATTTTAAAGATATAAAGTCTAAGTGATTTTAAGGTCAGTCTTGAATCAAGAGCCAAAGTATAAACTCCAATCAGTTCACTTTCCTCTATGAGATGTATTATTAAGTTTCATTAGTAAGTTTTCGCTCTTCCTCTGATGACTGTACTGGGTGGGCAAATTCTTTTCTTTATGTTCTTTCTCAATTTCCATGGCCAAAACCAACCAACCAACCAAAAAAAAAAAAAAAAAACCCCATACATCTGTTTTATCATTGCTTAGCCAGACCTTAAAAAGAACTATACCTTCAATTTTGAAAATCCATACTATGCATAATTTTCTTTCTCAAATGTTATTTTCATGAGTATTAAAAAGATTTAATGGTCATTTATCTTAACACTTTCAGAAGGAAAATGTTTTCTCAGTGTATTAGAATTACTATTTACCATCCTCATCCCAAATTGGCATTTTAAGTTTATAATACTTAAGTAATTTTGAAAGGGTGGATCAGTGTTAAAAACTGGCTACACAATGGCTATCTATCACCTGTTTTAGAAAAGGTTGTACTGCCACACCAAATTCCCCCTCACTCCGAATCTTTTGTAGTAGTCCATGACAATTCATGCAAATGACTGTCACACAACCACAGTCTGCCTCAGTTGCAATGTTTTCCTACGGAAGGTATTACAAATTAAAATCATAATCTCAAGTAATACAGAATTTGTGATGAAATAAGGAAGGCTGGTACAGTGAAGTCAGTCCTGAATGACAGCAATGCCTTTACTACAGAGTACAAAGAAAAGCACTTGCACTAGCAGATGTTTCTGAACTGCCTTAGAGCAGGTTTGCATTCCCAGTCAAAGGGAGAACACTTGGCTAGAGTTTCTCATAACTGGAATATCAATGGCAATAGTAAACAGTGTTAAAAAGGCTGAGCTCATCAAGCCTCTAAGGAATCAAAGCAAATACCAGATGCTAAACTATCTGTTACTAAATGCCCTCATTAACACTTGAAGTATTTGAGGTGAAGAAAGTGGGAAATTTCATTCAAAAGTTCCGGGGCTTCACAAAAGCAGATATGCTGAAAAAGCCATTAAAATAAATGAAATAAAATGACTGTATTCATTTATAATACCTTCAGATTTAGGGTTACTTAATACCATATATAATAAATTTATACGTATAATGTATGTATGTGTGTGTATGCATTTGAGTGAATGTATAGGCATTGTGAGAAATAAAAATATATCCAGATATAAATGAAGATCAAGGATATTTATCATAAATATTTCAAGTGCTTTTTGTTAAGGTGATAGCTATAAAAGGCTTTCAAATTTTTATTAACAACTACAAAGATTCTCTAAAATTTAAAATATTATTTAAAAAAGGGGGGGCGCCTGGGTGGCTCAGTTGGTTAAGCATCTGCCTTCAGCTCAGGTCATGATCCTGGGGTCCTTGGATGGAGCCCCGGTGTCAGGCTCCCTGCTTCTGCCTCTCCCTCTGCCATGCCCCCTGCTTGTGCTCTCTCAAATAAAATAAGTTAAAAAAAATTTTTTTAAATATGAAATAATAAAACACCTTTCTAAAAGTACTAGTACATTTTATCATAAATTAAATCACTGTTTCTAATACATAATCCTATAATTTTACATGAATATGGACCATAATGTGACATTTTTATTACTTCAGATGTATGCTATACTCATAACACTTATTGCAACACAAGTGAAAATAAATCAACAAATACCTCACAATTAGTTCTCATTCATTTTAAAGATATCATATGAATTATATACGTCCAGTATATTGATCTGAATAACAGAAAAAAAAACACTGGCTGAACTTCTACTTCTATATACTTGTTAAAACTCTGTACTAGTCAGTAATGGCTAAAATTATAACACTGTCTGGATCATTTATAAAGAAAGTGATAAAGAGATAAGAGGAGTTTAGAAGAACATCCAGAAATATAAGATGAAGAAAACCTTAGCAACTGTGATAGAAGCCTTTCCAGAATTTATCCATCTGCTTAGTAAATATTGTCTTAAGCATATTTCACAAAAATATAAATCCAATAAGATATGACAAATTAAAAGATGTTAGAGACATCTAGGTATGTTAGTGCCTTATGTGATGCCACAGGAGTGACATTTTCTTGGGAAAATATTTATTAGTAAATATTAGTAATCAGTAAAATAATTAGTAAAAAATTTTTTCTTTACCTCATTAGTAAAAAGGAGGCAGCACTAAGGATTCACTTTAGAGGATAAGGATAACAACAAATTGTTAAATTACAAAGTTGATATTTCTTTATTAAATCATATATAAAAACCATGTAATGCACATGGAGCACTACTGAATTAATCAACCTACCATAATAAATTATCCTTCAAGTTAAACTAATAATGGCATCTATACTTTTTTTCCAAAGTATTTAAATTCAAATGCCAATGAACTCCTCTACCACAATTTTAGGTCAACTCATGAAACTAATTCTGCAGAGTATATATGTTATAGTTAATTCTTGATTTCTGCCCCTTATTATTCTTCAAAGACAGGGAATTCAAATGTTAAGTCTTACCTGACCAGGTTCTGTTCCAGTAACAGTCAAGTCTTGGATGGATCTACGTCTTGGCTGTCCGTTGCCTTTTAAAAGATAAAAAAAAGTAGAATACTGAGATCTCTTCAGACAGACAACAAGGTTGTTACTGCTACAGTAGGAGGCCGGAATTTGTTCCTCCTTGGATCTACACAAAATGTTTGTGGGAAAAATAGTTAAGTCAGTTTATTGTTTAAAAAAAAAAAAAAAAGAAGAAGAAGAAGAGAATGTTGTAAGGAAAGGAAGAGAAAACAGCTGCAGAATTTTAACTCAAAAGTTGCTGGCCTACAGCAAAGTAGGTCCTACTCCTACCCCACATGAATAGCTGTTGAACTCTCTTGCACCATCTTCTGTCATGTATTTAAATAGATGAATATTTGTGGGCTGGGGCTGATGATGGCATCTATTTCAAGGGCCTTACGTTACAGTTTCTTCAGCAAGACAACTAGCCAGCAGGTAGTATGACATGACTGCCTTTAACCAACAACAGTACCTTGGTTCATTCAGGGCCTAAAAGGATGCTTAGGCTTAAATTTATTATACTGAGTCACACTTACTTAATCCCATTAGTTTTTGTCAGAATCTAGTAAATTATTACTGGTGAACAACTATTTTAATTTCCTACTGAAGATGAATGACTCTCATTCCATTCTCAAATGTACAGCTTGCTGAAATGGGCTATTGTGTTAATCCTGCTTTAGGAACATCAATGCTAATAATAATTTAATCTAAAAATCAGTTTACAAAAAATTTCTATAAATATAAGCAAAATAGAATGAATTAAGCAGGAGTATCACTCAGTACTTTTATTTGGGCACAGAATTGGTTGTATGGTATCTTCTAAGATGAGAGATCAGCTGTCTAAAAGGAAACACCAAAATATTGTGAGAAACAGCTGATACAATACTCAAAATTCTTTTGACTCTGAAAGCTGTATTATATAATTTTTCAACTAGTAGGTAGCACTCAGAACATGCACTCTAACAGTTTTGGCCCGATTAGCAGACAATTCACTCTTAAAATTTTATATTTCTATAATCCTCAGATCTTATTTTAAACCAATCAGCAATATACCTTAGCATCTTAATCCATGTGACCCCATTATTATTTTGTATGTAAACTCAAAGGACCTTACAACAGAATAATGTTTAATGCAGTAATACGTGCAGTAAATATAAAAATTCAAGTTTATAGCCACACTCAAATTTATAAGACATCATCGCTTTTCTTCATTTTAAGCTATGTTTTAGAATTCTCTGCATAATTTTAGCTCAAATTTACTTCAAGTTTCATTTCATTCCAAGTTCCAACTTTTTTTTTTTTAAAGATTTTATTTATTGGAGAGAGAGAGAGTGAGAGAGAGCACAAGCAGAGGGAGCGGCAGAGGAAGGAGAAGCAGGCCCCCTGCGGAGCAGGGAGCCCAATGTGGGACTCGATCCCAGGACTCTGGGATCATGACGTGTGCTAAAGGCAGATGCTTAATGGACTGAGCCACCCAGGCGCCCCGCAAGTTCCAGCTTTTGGATACAAATTAAAATAACACAAATAACACACATTTGTTGAATCAGGCACACTAAGATACTTTTATGAAAATTTTTAACTATCGCTGTTTCCTGAGAACAAAAAGATCCCTACCACCATGACTAATAAGCAATTTTAGGCACACTTCATTCAACACAATCATTCTAAAATTAGCTTAGATGAGACAGGCTTATAAAAGTGTCTGGAATTCTCTTTTCAGATTAGCAACATTTGTGAATCTGGGGAACCACCCAGCACATGTGTCTAAAAATCATTACATCACCACTGCAATAACAACAAAAACACTAAAATCTAAGGGGGTAGAAGGAAGGGGAATAAAAACTTTTAAGGAAGTAGGGTAAATAAGAGGTGACACAGTTAACAAATGCCATAAAATGAGAAATCTTCAAGCTACAACATGAATCAAAGCAAGCAATATTAGGCAATGCATTTTAATTAGCATAACCATGGCAGAAACCATCTGGCAAATAGTTTAGACAAAGCAAAAAAGGACTGCAATCAACAAATACTTGTTGCTCCAATATTAAGTTTTAAGTCATAATTTAGAAATGTGAATGTAAAAAAAAATAAAACTCCTATTATTGCAAATGAAAATTACTGGGTGTGTTCTCAGTAAATTCAGCTTGAGTCTGAACTTTTTTTGCAAGTGAATACTTTAGAAACTCACTTATTTTACATTTTTTCATGGTTCTTTGATATGTGCATACCTATACTACACATGGTAGTGTAAATGAAAAAAGTAGAATCAAGGGCCAATACGACGTCTACAGATGCCTGATCAAGGAATGTGAAACCTGCAAATGACGTCCTGAGTATTTCATTTTGTAATAAATTCTGGAGCTTTCAAAACTTACAATAGGGAACAAGTGATATTTTTTAGAACAACTTCTCTAAGAGCAACAAAAGGAATATACTGTATCTCTAGCCCATCATAACCCCCCACATAGCCCCTTTCCCTCCAAAAAGAAAAGTATGGTTAAAATAGCAGCTTATAGGCCAATTCAATTGTTCTTACAATAATGTCACAAAAACAGAATCCATCTCTTCAAAAAGCTGCTCTTTTAAGTACAACTTATTTACTGAACTGGTATTTGAAGAGTCCTTCCTAGTCACTCCTGTGGCTTTTCTTATTGGTTTAAGTAAGCTCATTTTTATTACTTATTTTTCTATTTTCCAAACTTCCTGAAGACTCTTTTCATGTAAAAACCAACACTACATTTTCCTAGAGACATCTCTTAACAAATATTGGAAAATTTGAGATTCATAAGTTTTGAATATTAAAATATTCCTTAAAATAATATCAATGAATATTAATATATTATATAGAAATATTAATACAAATTATATAGAAAATAAAATATTATTAAAATATTCCTTAAAATAATATTTTTAATATAAAAAACTGGATATTAAAATTTTTAATATTAAAAATATTAAAAATTGTGTTTTCTTCATGTGTAAAATACGTAAGATTAAAAAAATTTGTACAGCACTATACACTGTAGTATTATATCACTGCTTCATAGTAAACTGTGCAATTTAAAAAATATATGTTCTCATTTAGGCTGCCACAAATTTCATATTCTTTTATTTATTTCAACAAATCCTACCTCATTCCTTAGAAGGCCCTTCAGGGTGAGTTTTTTTTTCCTCCTATCAAAGGAAAGTAATTATTATTGATGTTTTGTTTTCTAACAAACTAGCTTTCATTAGGTTAGAGTTCAGCTTTTTCGACTGCAAAATGTGATCTTGATAGGCTACGATATGTAAAGACTACTAAACATTCTCTTTAATGTTGGTTAGATGAACTTCCCTATTTAATTAGCCACAAATACAGAATTTTAGTAAGGTGAGGTGGCTACACACAGCAGAAACAGAAATATTTCAGCATAGCTCTCCTTGGGCCTCAGAGTCCCTAATTCAAAGGTTTATAGCTGCTAATGACACAATGTGTCCAAGGTAGGAACTTGCCAGATCTAGGAAAGTTTCCTTCTTATCTGTCTCTTCACACCAGCACTGCACTATTCAGGGGGAAAAACTGCACCAGTAATTTATGTACTTACAGTTAAAGTAATGTTTATAAATAGTATCTACTGGTTCTTGAACCAAATATAGTATTAAAAGGTTATATTCTTGTCCTGACAGGAGAAAGCCAAATAGTGCCCAAGTGTCTCTGAACAGTATTGCAGCCTCCAGCTGTCCAGCATTCTACAAAGCCCTCACTGCACTGCCCCCCCACCAGCCCAATCTCTTTGCCAATTACTTCAGGTATTTGAAACTTCGAAGGAGGAAAAGACTTAAATATGAGAAACTCAACTACCCATCTATTTTTGTTAAATATGCTTGGGCTCTCCCATACTCCACTTACTCTATTTAACTACTCATCATACTCTTGAAAACAACTAATATAGAGCTAAATGTGTCTGACTGAAATTAAAAGTGAATATTCATTAAATATTTCTCAGTTAAGATATCTAACTGCAGCTGAAATCGTAAGGACACCTGAAGTTTCTTTCAGCTTTAAGAACAGTATTACAAAATCGGAGGGGGAGATAAACCATGAGAGACGATGGACTCTGAGAGGCAAGCTGGGGGTTCTGGGGTGAGGGGGGTGATGGGATGGCTTAGCCTGGTGATGGGTATTGAAGAGGCCATGTTCTGCATGGAGCACTGGGTGTTCTACGCAAACAATGAATCATGGAACACTATATAAAAAACTAATGATGTAATGTATGGTGATTAACATAACAATAAAAAAAGAAAAAAAAAAAGAACAGTATTACAAACAAAAAATAGCAGTTAAATTCAGGCTCTTCAGGGAGCTGGGCAAAAACATTTTATATGACTGACTATAAAACATTTGCATATTCAATCTTTATTATTTATTATATCCTTAAGAACTGTATGTAAGATGGAAAATCATCTTTGGTTAAAGCATTCTATGATTTTAAAATGCTATGCCATATTATTTTAGCCTTACAAAAGGTATACTAAAGCACCACTGTTCAAGGCTCTCAAATAGAAGCACATTAAGGCAATTTTTATCTACGGAATAAATGAGAATTTTCAAGTGTTTTAAATGAACTCAAGCATTATAATTTAGTCTGAACTAAGAAATTCAGAACTGAGTATAACAGCAAAAAAACTGTTTAAACATAAATATTCTATAAAACTTTGTAGGTTATTTTTTTAAAGATGTGTTTATAATATAATTACAGTAGTCCTACAATATCAGTATTTGGAAAAATTTACTTTTGCAATATTTGGAAATATGTATCATTTTAGGATAGTAATCAATCTGGTCTAAACTGTGTGTAAGGAATTTCATTTTAGAAAGTCAGGAACTACAGAAGACTAATGTTTCCATTAAATCTTTTACAGGTGGTATATATGTATGTATTTGATAGTAACTTTTCAGTGGATTTCAAAATGCATTATTATTGCAGTTGATTTCCTTAAGTGCTGTAACTATTCACACAAGGACTCCAGAGCAGAACTGCTAATCTTTTTCGATTACTGAAACTAAAGCCATGAACAAAATCTGCATTAACTACTCAGTCTCTTACTCCATGCTTTAAACGGGAAAAGGCTGTTGCTCCTGTTTTGTTAATTTTTGACATTTTACCTGTTTATCTTTTATATTGGGATTTTTGAAAGAAATGTAAAATTTAGCTATTCTAACACCAGTAAATACTATCAGAATGTATTATATAGTTTCATAATTCATAATCCCTATTTCATTTGAGTATATGAGATGAAGATGGGGGAAAAAACAGAACCTTGGAAGCCTGGATATAACAAAACGAATTTGAGAAAGTCAAGAAAATCCAAGTAGAAGAACCAAATAAACAAAAATTGTATTCTTATTAAAATTTTGGAGGAAAAAAATTAGTAAATTTAAAGCAATCTAATAATATGCCACTCATTCACCTTTTCTTTAAATAAAAGTAAAACAAATTAAAAGGAACTGGCTAAAAGGGAGAAATGATTATGCTTTTAAAACTTGGAAAATATTTAAGAAAGTCTATTTCCTCTTCTCAAAGTTCATTTCAGTTTATCAGTTTATCATGTTCAATAAACAAATAGATTAGAAAATGGTAGGTCAAACAGTTTAAATCCTGAGCAAGAAACCTCTACATTTACATTTACTTTGCTTAGATGGAACCCTGTTACTTGACAGGGCCCTCTCCACAAACGAAGAATTAGCAAAATGTCATACTCTACTGGCAATCTGCTATTAACTACGTGTTGCTTTGTAATAAAAAGCCAGATTGATCTATAGCCACTCTTTGTGGGCAGTGAAAAGCAGAAGGGAGTCATCAGCAGCAAACTTTGCCAATACTTCTTCAGAGCCAGCGTCAATGTACAAGAGGTATAAAAAATTGTGTAGCTTGATCCATAGGAACTCCTGAGGTATTAAAGGGTCTATTTTTGCATGACTTGAGTGACTATTACATTAATGAATGTCATTGTAAGCCTTAGATTGCTTGCTCTTCCTCATCTGAATGATGGCAGAATATAAAACAGTGCAAAGAGCAAGCAAAAAACAAGACTTGAATTTGTCCACCTGTGACTAGATTAGGCATTTCAGTCATTTTACAATTTAAACAACTTGGTAAATTTTTAAAAATTCAAGCAAGACACACCTTCAAAAAGATATATTTGTACATTGCCAATAAGTACACATAAAAGTTTTGTGATGCTTAAAGGAACACTCTTTTTTATTACAAGAGGCAGTTCATTCCAAGAAGTATATTAGACCCAGTATACTGGACTTGGCCAAAGGAAAGTATTATTCAAAATACTTATTCATTACAGATAAGATAAAAAAAAATTGCTATATTTAAAAAAATGCTTACAAATGGGATCCAATATTAATGAGTACCTGTTTGGGTATATCAAGAGGTTCTGTAATACCACAGAACTTGTGGGAAATGGGACTTTGAAGAAACAAATTCTAAAAGGTACTAAGAAATTTTGGGAATTAAGTATCATCTTCCTTTATAATTTAAAATGGCCACGTAAGACCATTTGAAATATTCTCAAAGTATGGGTTATATTTTTATATTTAATTTAATTTTTAAAAATACAACTTAAGAACACATTAATGTCTGGCTTTTATGTCCAACTGTTGTTAATTTCAGTGCTTGTATTCTTTTATTAAAGAAAGCAAAACTGATGAGGTTAATGTTTGGATATCTGGGGGGGAAGTCACCAAGAATATTTAATAAAATGTGTTATTGAATACCATTTCTATTTGAATAGCATTGTTGCTCTGGCAATTAAGAGCAGACTTAAGGTTTCCTGACTCCAATAAGGACCCAGTGTCAAGAGAGGGTCTTCTGGCCAAAGAGCTCTCTTTAATGTGAACACTAAAGAGGAGCAAGGCAGAATTACTCTATCTTCTCTGACGCCAACAAAAGAGGAGAAAATGGACGTGACTTGGGAGTCAGATCTAGGTTGGGATCCTGGCTATGTGGCCTCTGGGAAAACCACTCAAAACCCATTAGATCTAAGTTCCTCATTCGTAAAATAGCCATAATTTTATCTGGTAACCCATTTATAAGACTGCTATAGAGGTCAGTTAAGAATGTGTACTCTGAACTACTTTATAGGCCACACAAGAGCATCTAAGCAGGGTTTCTCAACATCGGTACTCTTGACATCTAAGGCTGGGTAATTCTTGGCTTTTGGAAGATTGTCTGGTACACTGTAGGATGTTCAGCAGCATCCCGGGCTCCTGCCCACCATATATGTGCCACCTGCCACTTGTGACAACCAAACGTGTTTCCAGATGTTGCCAAATATCCCCTGGAGGGCAAATTCATCCTGGTTGAGAACCATTAAGACTATTCTTTCTCTTTTCTGTCCCTCATTATTTTGTACAGTACTGGCTACAGCATTCAGTACATGTGTGTGTATGTGTTCTTAATGCTTACTCATAGACAAGGATTAAGATTATACTGCCATTTGCCTAAATTCTCCTGATTTACTCAAACATTGAAAGTAATCACACTTAACAGTATGCATGTTTAAGTGTTCCCACTTCTTTAGTCAAAATATTATTCTCTTAAACACTGTACCTTTCAGCATGGAGGTAAAATGACTTAATAAATGAAATTACTATGTGAGAAATGGGTTAACTCTTTTCTCTGAACAGCAATAGTGATGATGTTATAGAATAAAGCACTTTGAAAGAATAAAAATTACTTTAATATAAAATGGTTTTCTACAGATAAAATGCCTAAGAATTATATTATTTATGTTTTATGCATATTTATAATTTATACAGATTTTATATGTATCCTAGTTCCTGGCCATGGGAGGTAATAATAGTTTGTTCATTTAATAGGTACATATTTATTAAACACTATGTGTGAGGCACTGTCAGATAACTGCTGATACTGTCAACCGCAAGTAACAAAGACATGGTCTATTCTGTTTTCATTTTACTAGAGGAGAAAATGACCTCTAGGTATTCAACTACGATACAATACTATGCTAAAAGCACAATCACAGGCAGTGTATAGAGTGCTGAGGAATTTACCCAAATCACACCCATGAATGTGTGTGGGAAAAACTGTGTATTTCTTTTTGGGGAAGAGGTGGAGGAAAACCCAAAGCAGATGGAGAAATAAATGATAATTTTGATGACATATATTAACCGATAATGAAGGTCACATATGCCATTTAAGCTTCTGCCTAATATGGTGATTTAGAGTCATCTATGAAATTATTACTATAACAAATAAAAGGAATTTACCAATTAAGACTGAAGTACCATGTGTGAGTTAGGTATAAAAACATGTAATCTGCAAGAAGATTCTCTTGGTAACATACAAGAATCAGAATTGACCATGATTCTTTGGCAAGATACCATGCAAAACAGCAAATCTCATTTAGTTTTGTTTCTATTTTCTAGTTAAGGCAAAATGGTATTTAGCAATTCTCTTTTTTCAACTTCAAATTTCACTTGCTACCAACAGAAAGAGGCTTGGAGAGGAAGCCTAGAGGGAACCCCAGAAGTAGAAACTAAGGAAGGAAAGGAGCCAAGGTCAACAAATATTTTTAAATAGTTGTTTCCTCTTTCTGCTGGGTGCAAATAAAGTCTTGGTTCAGCTCATCTGCTCACTTAAAAGCAGGGAGGAAGTTGGTAAAATTCTAGGCTAGTATTCTCCCTTCTGGGAAAAGGTTTACTTTGCCTTCTATTCTACCCTCATTTTTGGAGATTTAAGGTATCCTGTCAAGTCTGCTTCAGTATATATAAATGTATAGTTTTCAATCTGTCTTCCTAATCTCTGCATGCAAGGTATCTCTTTTTATGTCCTAAACAAATTGGAGCAAGAAGCATTTTATAAGTACCAGGGATCATTATTCCGGTCCCATAGCTATTAGACCAACTCAGGTGGTCTATGATACCTGATATGACGATCTCAGGGACATCCAGAATGTTGCCAAATGAAGCAGTTTTACGGTGGCCCCGTTTAGGCTTGGAATAGGCTGCAAAAACATATATATACAGTATACATGCAAACAACCACAAACAGTAACACAGAAAACGATTAACTACAAAAACAGAATACTTTTCAAATAGTTATGTTAAAAATACTTCATGCAGAATGGCATGCAGAACTATCTAACTTTTCATCCATGCTTAGAAAAGGCGTGATTTAGGAGAAAAATATCAATAAAGATGTCTCACATACTGGTTTTAATTAGCAGGAAAAAAAATAAAAAGGACAGAGACAAACAAAGCCACAGGGTAATGAGGAAGCTAAATTTCAAACATGTTCAGAGAAACAATCTACCTAAGTGAAATCGCTGATAAGCAATGAAGGGCTAGGATGAAAGTGGGAAGGGAGAGAGGAGTTAAAACGAAATAAGCTGCCATATTTGTTTTAATCACACAAACACAGGAATATATGTTCAAATTAGGTGTTTCTTGAAGTGTGCTATAAATAAAATTTGTGATCATATGATAATTATTGAATCAAAGTGTGAAATGTATATGCTTTTTAAAATAAGTATTTACACATACTTCTATTAAACTGAATATTTACTATAGTTTCCAAAGTTCAAGGTACATTTCCATTAAATGTGAACAGTATTAAAAGCTGGAGAATATGAGTTTTTCAAAGACAATTCATAAAAAAAATCTGAATTGTATAAAATTCAGTGATGTTCAATGGCATCTGTTCTACATTTAGAGAGGGTGGGATAATTTAAATGTGTGGTTGTTTTTAACCTAGTGAAATATCACTTCTGTAAGGAATAATTATAAACCAGTACCTGACTAGAAAATTGACACTAGCAAAGATATAAAACTGTTATAACACCACTTCTTATTTTAGAGTAGTAAGCATTATTTAGCACATCTAACTTGAATGATACCCTTAAAGTGGAAAGGTTCCCCAAGTGTGAAGATATGTCACCGTGTGCACTATTCATCTGCCACTACACTGAGATGCCCTCACTCCACAGGAAAACACTTGCGACTCAGAGACCAGGAGGGCTTGTTAGTGGCTGATGAGCTCCATTCAACTTGATCATTTATAAAGATCCATCTGTGTGCTAAAGACTTCCAGTCCCCTGCCAATCTCTATTCTTCCCCTCTTTCTAGCAACAGAACCCTGACTTTACTCAGGACAGCAATGTCCCCAGATAAAAGATCACAGATCCTTTTTTCCCTTGCAGCCAGGTGTGGTCATTTGACCATATTACTATGGCCAAAGGCATCTATATGGAAGTTGTTAGGGGGAACTTCTGGTAAAGATCCTTGAAAGAGCTTGGGCATGGGCCTTTTGGCCTTCCCCTAATTTTCCTTTCTTGCTGCCTGGACTGTGGATGTGACAACTGCAATTATGATAGCTATTCTGGAGCACAAAGTTACCTTAAGGATGGAAGCCACACAATAGGATTGTGACCCAGAAACAGAGGAGCTCAGTTGCCTAATGATCATAGAGCCTACCTTCAAATTTCTTTATGTGTGAACAAGAAAGCTTATGTGTTAAAGACACTGCTACTTTGAATATTCTGTTATAGCTAGCTGATTCTAGTGCTGATATAATCAGTGTTCATTAGTAGATGAAGACAAGTACAATATGTTGGTCCTCTGGAAAACTTCTGAAAAGAGCTCCACAAAAAATGAGAATTTCTATTTAGAAAAAAAGAAAAACAACAAATGAATGAGAAAAAAGACCTTAAAAAAAAAAAACAAAAAAAAAACCCCAAACAAACCTGGTTAGCTAAGTTAAAAAATATATATACTAATATACATGAAAATACACATGTATACACATATATGGTTAAGAGACCAGAGGTAAATACACAAAATTGTTAAGTGTTTATCTCTTAAGTGGGAGAATTATGGAAAACTGGTTTTTTTTGGTTGTTTCCATTTTCACATTTTCCATAAAAGAAATGTATTTACTTTTATAATTAGCTCCCCTCTACCCCTGGAAGAAATGGAAAGAAAACAAACCAGCATTACTAAGCTCAAACCTGGTTAGAAAGAAGGTTACATGTTCACTCAGGTAATAAAACATATACAATTGACCCTTGAACAATATGGGTTTCAATTGCGTGGGTCCAATTATATGTGATTTAAAAAAAAATACAGTATAGTACTGCAAATGTGTTTTCCTTATAATATTCTTTTTTTTTTTTTTTTAAAGATTTTATTTATTTGAGAGAGAGACAGTATAAGCAGGGGGAGCAGCAGCGGGAGAGGGAGACGCGGACTCCCTGCTGAGCAGGGAGCCAGATGTGGGGCTGGATCCCAGGACCTGAGCCAAAGGCAGACACTTAACCGACTGAGCCACCCAGGTGCCCCTAGTTTCCCTACAATATTCTTAATAACATTTTCTTTTCTCTAGTTTACTTTATTGTAAGAATACGGTATATAATACATATAATATACAAAACATGTGTTAACTATTTGTTATTGGTAAGGCTTCAGATCAACAGTAGTAGTTAAGTTCTGGGGGAGTCAAAAGTTACATATGGATTTTCTTTCTTTTTTTTTTAAGATTTTCTTTATTTGAAACAAAGCGAGAGAAAGGGAGCAAGAGAGCATGAGGGTGGGGGGGAGGTGAGCAGAGGGAGAAGCAGGCTCTCCAATGAGCAGAGAGCCTGACACGGGGCTTGATCCCAGGACCCTGACATCATGACCTGAGCTGAAGGCAGACACTTAACTGAGTCACCCAGGCGCCCCTGGATTGACTGATTGATGTTCTTTCTCTTTCCTTCCTTCCTCTTTCTTTTTTTCTTCCTTCCTTTCTTTAATTTTTTTAGGTTTGACTTATTTATTTATTTAGAGAGAACAAGTCGGGGGAGGGGCAGAGAGAGAGGGAGAGTGAGAATCTCAAGCAGATTCCCTGTCAGACGCTCGACTGACTAAGCCAGCATGTGGATTTTCAACTGCATGGTGGGTTGATGCCCTGAACCCGGGCGATGTTCAAGGGTCAACTGTAATTGTTTTTGTGCTAACCAGTCCTTCTGTAATTAATCATTTTAAGAACTGAAAAAATGGAATTCAAATGCTGGCTTTTTCAAGATTGAATAAAATTACCATGATATTTTATATAACAATTAAAAGAACTAGCTACACCCAACTTAGCTATTTTTGCTACTGGAAGGAAGAGGGGCAGACAGTAAGGCCAAATCATATTTGGATCTAGAGTACATTTTTCTGCTAATTTCAAAACAAAATATTTGCTATTATTTGAAGTCAGCACAAATTCTAGTAGAAACACTAAAAATCCTCTACAACATTCTGGTTTTGGCAAAATTTCAATTTCCCACTTAAATTTTCAGTTCACGTTTGAGCTGAAAGAATTACATTTGATAAAAATATATTTTATGATCCAAATAATTTTACAAGTCATACCTGCTTTATTTATGGAACTGGAGAAAAACATACAAATTATTTGCTAGAAGCTTAGAAAGTATATTGTAAGCCTACTTCCTGCTTTAAAAAAATTTATGACATAAAAAACCTGACATTCCCACTACTGAAACAAAACTACTCTTTCTACTCCTCTTCAGATTTTTATTTCCTTTTTACCTGTGGTCGCAGCAATCCTGGCTTCTATTTCAGACATGTCAGCACTCATCCTCTTGCCCTCAGAGGTTGGGGGCAAGCTCTCCACACTGCTCCCACGGGAAGCTCCCAAGCTTAAACGTCCCGATTCACTCTGTTAAAATTATAGGTCAATTTGAATTACTGAAGCTCTTTAAATTGAAAAATCCTGGGCAGCCTAGGAGGAGGAAGATATCACCTGAGATTCTTAATGGATTCTGTTCTGAAAGAAAAGGGAAGTTTTAGGGAGAGGGAGCTGCAGCGGTAAGGGAGAGAAAGCTACAGACGCTGCCTTTAGGAAAGGGCAGTCACTGGAGTTGGGAGTTAAAGGCTACAATTATTAGTTAACCTAAATGCCTCAGGTAAGATGAATAAAATCACTTAAAATACTTTTAAATCAACAACAGCAAAAATATAATATATCTGAACAATACGAAATGATAGACTTAGGACAAACTCCTTTAACGGGGTAATAGAACCAAGAAATAACCATTTTACTTTTTTGTTTTTTAGCATTTTACATTTTTAATCATCAACATTAAAGTTAGGGAACATCACAGGGAAGGAGCTGCACTGTGGCAAAGGCAGCAATCATCAGGAGGGAAAATAATTTGGTGATAAACAGTAGGAAAATCTCATTTTATGTCTCTATTCTGTCTGCTTTAGGAACAAGATTCAGCACTTGTATAATGGAAGATGACAAATAATTTCAGTTAGTATAAAGTTATGACTACTAGTAAGGTCATCATATGATTTTACTTTTAGTAACAAAACAAACCTGTTGCTTTGCCTGATTTTTCAACAATTTTGATTCTAAGCGTTTAATAGTATCATTTGTGGCAGGAACTTGCTCCATATTAGTGTCACTTTTATTACTGGTATTTGTAGAAGCGATGTCCATGAAGGAGCCTAGGAAAGCAGAAATATTTATGATTATAGGTTGGGAATAATACAGATGCTTCATTCAATAATATGTAACTTAAATTCTTTCCAAAACTAACAAGACATGAATAGAAACAAAATAAGACTTTTTGAGCCAATGAAGATATCCAAACTCATTTTAAATGAAATTTAAGGATAGTACAAAAAGGGAACCAAAATGTTTAGTCTCCGAATAGTCAAGGATGACTGTAAGGTTTTCAGCCTCAGCTAGTAAATCACAGTTTAGGGATTAAATCCTTAATTAAGATGAGGAAGACCATGGGAGAATTAAGTTTGAGGGGAATGTCAGGAGCTTAGTTTTTGGAAAATAGTAAGTTTGAGTTCCTATTAGATATCAAGTAAGTAGCTGGATACAGGAGTACGAGGTTCAGGTCAGGTGTGAGCAAAGTATCAGCAAATAGAAGTATACAGAGTTATGATATTAGATAAGATTACTGAGGAAATGAGTGTAGAGAGATAAGCAAAAGAGCCTTAATGACTGAGCCCTAAGCATGCTGACATGAATAGGTTGGGAAGATAAAAAAAATTACCAGCAAAGGAAACTATCAGAGAAAGTGGCCAGAGATAGAAGATGGAAACCCAGGCTAGTATGGTATCCTAGAGACCAACTAAAGAAAGTGCTACATATAAAAAGAAAGTAATGAACTGTGTCAAATGTTACTGAAAGCCAAAAAAGATGATAACTAGGGGCGCTTCGGTGGCGCAGCTGGTGAAGCGTCCGACAAGATCTTGGTTTTGGCTCCGGTCATGATCTCAGGGTCATGAGATTGAGCCCCAAGTCAGGCTCTGTGCTCATCAGGGAGTCTGCTTAAGATTCTTTTTCTGTCTCCCTCTGCCCCCCTGCCCTGCCCTACTTGTGCATGCTCTCCCTCCCTCCCTCTCAAATAAATAAATCTTAAAAATAATGAGAGCTGAAAATCATTTCAATTTAGTCATGTGGAGACAACTGGTGACCTTGACAAGAGCAATGCTGGAGTAGTGGTATAATAAAAGCCTGAATGGACTGGGCACTAGAGAGAATGAGGAAGAGAGAAGCTAAGAGGATGCAAATACAGACTATATATACCCTGGGAATGATTCCAATAGAAAGGCTGATGATGCAAGAGACTGAGGGAAGAACTGCTGGGAAGAGCAGGTGGGATACAGTGCACAAGGAGACAAACTTGCCTCTGGTGAGGAGCATGGAGAGCTCAGCCATAGTAACAGAAAAGAATGGAGAGCAGATGGGCACAGATACAGGTAGATGGGCAGATGGAGTAGGGGAGCTTCTGGAAGCTATCTTCTGATCGCTCCAATTTTTCTAAGAAATAGGCAAATAGGATCAGCGGAAAGTGAGGAGTGAAGAGGAGATATTTGCAGTTTGAGGAGAGAGGCTAAAGTATAAAATTAAGTTATCAGGCGAGAGGAGATAGACTAAACTATAGTACAACCATCCAGCATCACTAAATCACTAAGGCATTTGAAGAGAGTAAACATGTGTTGTTTCCAGCCACATTCAGCTGCACTGGTACAGGCAAGGGCAAGCCAAGTGTCAGATTTAACCACTTGTGGTTTAGCCAAATAAGTCTAAGACAAGAAATTATAATAACTACCTGGAATTAAATGAAGGGAGGATGAAAGCAAAGATCTGAGAACTGTGGCTCAGTGAAAAGATGGAAGGATCAAAGGCCTGAAGGTCACCATACTTAAACAGTTTGGAGGTGGTGGTAGAAACAAATAATGGAGAAGTTCACTTTAGAATTCAGAGCAACTTAAAGATTTTCAGTAAAAATAGAATTTGGGAGTAACTATTAAATCAGCTTAAAATAAATGTAATTATTTTTGAGGCGGGGGAAACAGATGAGCAAAAATATTTGTCAGTAAAAATAAAATTTTAAGTACCAGATAAATATATGTGTACGTATACAGGTACACATGTACCTTTTAGTTGTAATTAAATTAATAATGAATGCTTAAAATGCCATATATTTTGAAAAGCACAATTTTTCTTAGAGACTTATTTCTGCTTTTTGATGAGCACAAACTACAGATTCCACTACTACTCTGTATTTATTTATCTATTTATTTATTTATTTTTTAAAAGATTTTATTTATTTATTTGGCAGAGAGAGACACAGTGAGAGAGGGAACACAAGCAAGGGGGGGTTGGAGAGGGAGAAGCAGGCTTCCCGCCGAGCAGGGAGCCCGACCTGAGCCGAAGGCAGTTGCTTAATGACTGAGCCACCCAGGCGCCCTACTACTCTGTATTTAGAAAACTAATGAACTTTGAACTAAAAATAAGAGTTCTTAAATAAGAGTTTCTATAGACTCTTTTACAAAGACCATAAAGTAGAGTGTTCATGATGAAGAAATATGCTGTTTTTTACATTTACAATGACTCCTAATATTATGTGATCTACCCGTATCTGTGTAAAAAACGATTTTATTTTTCAAATAAAGAATGACATTCCCAGGGCGCCTGGGTGGCTCAGTCGGTTAAGTGTCTGCCTTTGGCTCAGGTCATGATCCCAGGGTCCTGGGATCGAGTCCCGCATCAGGCTCCCTGCTCAGCAGGGAGTCTGCTTCTCCCTCTCCCTCTGCCTCTCCCCCTGCTTGTTCTCTGTCTCTCTCGCAAATGAATAAATAAAATCTTTTTTAAAAAAAAGAATGACATTCCCAGCAATACAATATCCCATATCTTTTTATATTTAACTATGCAAGAATTCTAAGACTTGGAAGCAGGTCTTTAGTAACTCTTTAATCTGGGTACCTTCATGAAGAATGATGCACCTGGAAACCCAAATTGCAGTCAATCATACGAAATAAAGAAATTAAAATGCAAATGGAGACATCATTCATTGCCTCTTGATTATAATTTCATGGGAAAAGACACACAAAAAATTAGGGTTATTACTCTTGCAATCTACCCACTTACCTGTACTGGTGGCAGAGTTGCTCTGTCCTTCATCTGAATACTGACAAGGATACTGTAATGGCTCATCTGCTCCTGGAAAGTACTATATATGAAAAAGGAAATCACAATTTAAAATTTCTTTAATACAAAATAAATCCTGCAAGAATTAACTTGAAGAATACACATTATTTACTTGTCCTGGGATGTGAAAGTAGCAGAGATGGTGCTTTATTTTCCCTAAGGCATATACTGAATTTATGATGGCTAAACTCAGTATACGCCTTAAGTTTTTTTTTTAATTTTATTATGTTAATCACCACACATTACATCATTAGTTTTTGATGTAGTGTTCCATGATTCATTGTTTGCGTATAACACCCAGTGCTCCATTCAGTACGTGCCCTCTTTAATACCCATTACCGGGCTAACCCATCCTCCCACCCCCTCCCCTCTAGAACCCTCAGTTTGTTTCTCAGAGTCCATAGTCTCTCATGGTTCGTCTCCCCCTCCGATTTCCCCCCCCTTCATTTTTCCCTTCCTACTATCTTCTTTTTTTTTTTTTTTTTAACATACAATGTATTATTTGTTTCAGAGGTACAGGTCTGTGTGATTCATGAGTCTTACACAATTCACAGATGCCTTAAGTTTTTGATTTTACAAAGATGATGATAATGTGCTACTCCTAAATTTCAACTGTGATCAATGCTGTGTATGTACTTAAGTATCTATTTTACACAGAGCCTAGATAGTCCTCAAGAAAACAGCTTTATTTTTCTAGAGGAACAATCAAATATAATAGTATTCCTTGTAATTATGTAAAATGGATTTATGTTCTCTCATAGCACTGATACAAACTTCCAAATTGCAGAAGTTATTGTCAGTCTGACAACTGAGCCTGGTATGCCATAGAATAATTGTTAGAACCAATATTTTGAATATCAAAGATAGATTATGGCTGTTCCTCTATAAAACGGAGATACAATATTGGAAACTTTTGCTGGACAAAAATTAGAATTTAGGGAAAAAAATAAAGGCTTTCTTTTCAAATCAGACAAAGCACATATAAGTATAATTATAATTTGAACAATTTATATATCCCAATGTTTTAGGGTATCTCACTATGGAGATGAAGTTGTTTTCTTATGGGCACATCTTTAGGGCCTAGGATTCTAAATATAGCTGGTACCCACATATGATGGTAAGTTTTAATCAGATTAGTTCAATCTTGGTTTCCCTAAATAATTTTCAATAGAATAAACAAATCTTTGGCCATTTAGGAAGTCTATATTTAAGGAGACTGAAAGGTTCTTCTACTGAGCAAAATTGTTCTACTGTTCTAAAATTCATGCACTTTCATAAGTATGTGAACTTTTAAAGTCAAAGTACCACTTGGGAGATTTTGTTAATGCACCAAAAACTAGAAGCCTAAAATTAACATAACAAAAAATTTTAAAAAAATTATTCAAATAATTCTAAAAGTGTTTGTTTATAGACTAAGAAATTTTAATAATCATTTGAAAGGGTTTTTCTAAATTAAAAAATTCTATCTATAAATCCTAGAAGTTTAACTTTTTAATGGTAAATAAAAAGCTAAAAATATGCAGTGAAACAACAGAAGGTAAAAATCATTAAATAAACGTGTCTGGGAATACAACCATTCTATTGCCTTGCATAAACGACTGCCTAATGAAGATCTGTACTCAAGAAAATTTAAAATTTAGTTTGGCAAGTATTAGAGTCAGAAAATACCTAAGTCCTGTATAAAGACATCTAATTTAGCTTCTCTCACATTACAGATGGGGCAACAGGCCCCAAAACACATCTGTCCACTAAGTTAAGCAGGAGGAAAAAGCAAGTTCAGAAACCTAGTCTAGCTATCTTTCCATTCTAAAGAACTAGATTTTACCCCCCAAAATAACGTTTCCTCCTCTGATTATGAGTAATAAATGCCCACTCTAATTAGGACAATACAGAAAAGTATAAAGCAAAAAATAGCAATAATGTCTTTTCACTTTAAAACCCCATTCAAACTCAGTATATATCAAATTCCCCTAAATCCAAAGCCCCTCAAAAGAAGGATTATACCCGCATCAAGTGAGTCATTATTTTCACAATTTCCTCCATTGAAGGGCGCTGAGAAGGATCTTTAGACCAACAACGAGTCATCAGGCTCTCAATGGGCTTAGGTAAATTTTTGATCAGTGGTGGTCGAGTACCTATAATTGAAAATTAGAGGAGGGGGGGAAAGAATGTATTTACCCAAAGAATGGTGTAAGCTTTTTATATGTATTTCCAATACAGTATTTATTTTATAGATCTTGTAATTTAAGATTTATTTTGGAATAATAAAAGTACTTTTTTTTGGTCTATTAGGTTTACATTACATTTTCATAAAGGGGATGGTTACACCTTTTGCGAAGTCAAATTAAAATTTTTATATTCATTATAGTAAAAATAAGACTGAGAAATAGTATCTCATTTGTTCTAAACACTGTTCTTTTAACAAATAATAATGGCTTAGTGGGTGCTTTATTAAGTAAAATAAAATGATGGTTTGAGGTAATCTTACTTGAACTAGATTTTCAGATTCACTGTAAAAATTTCAAATGTATTTGAAGAATCACCTTCCATATTGGAAAAGTCACAACTATGGTGTTATACTCACTGACCTCTAAATGACTCTTTCGTCAATGGCAGACCTTTTTGGCTGCTGTGAATCCATCACTTCCCCAACTGAAAACTGTCAACTTTTGTGTAATTAACAAGACTAATATAGTGAGGCCCCTAACTTAAAGAAAGCCTCAAATATAATGAAATCTTTGTAATTCTACCAACTAACAAGTTAGTTCTTTTATTTTGTACTTCACTAACAGTCGATTATTTACTGACAATTGACAGAAAAACAAAACACACTGTCTTAGTCAATGCTCTAGCATTCTCTACAATGACATTAAAGGTAGTAAAATGAAAGGTAGTACAGGAAACAAACAAAAAAAACCACTTAGGATTACTCAGATGATGGGACTGTTTGACAAGTCTATGAATCACCTAGTTAGGCAGGTATTTGTATGATCTGTGGAATAGTGTATTAAAATGCCATAATCAGAATGATTATAACCAACTGATAGAAATTAAATAATAGAGAATGATATAAAAATTAGGAAGGTTAAGCAATTTCCCTCCATGAAGAGTTTATTTTCCCAAATCAAATGTGAAATAACTTGATTAATGAAGAACATGTATTCTAACATCCTGAGTGGTTAGAAACATACAACTACATGTTTAAAAGAAGCAGGAGGGATAAAGGACATTGAGTTCGTAAGTCAATATAACTTAAAAATATGGACACTGGGAGTCAAAGATCTGGATGGGAATCCCAGCAATACCACTTACTAATCTGATGACCTTGGACAACTTCCTTTCCCTCTCTAAGTCTTGGTTTCTGTAAAATTGTTAAATGAAGCAGTTACAGTACACTCCTTATAAGGATGAATGAAAAGATAAAAAGAAAGCATATGTGAAGCACTCTGTGTTTTGCCTTTATGAATAGCTGAACTAACAATTCTTCTTCTTCTTTGCTCCCTCAGGAGAAAAGGCTATACCTCCTCAATTAACCTTAAGAACCTTGAGAAAGATTTTATTTATTTTTTAAATTTTATTTTCTCCACGGAGTCCAATCTGAGGCTTCCTATCCCCTAGAGAAAGCCAACCTAGGTAGCTGGCTCTGGCTGTCTACTGATGGCCTTTCCCTAACTAGCAGGATCAGCAGACCTCCTCAGCCTTGGGCAAACGACAGGACCACTCTCAGCCCTACCCTACCTGATTTTGGGGGCGAGGGGGGAGGGTAGGTGATTGATGACAGCAAAGTATTCTGGTAACAAAGAACTGGACATTTTAATGTTAGGGATAAATGGTCTTGTTTAAGGTAGATACAATTGTCCAGACAGAAAATACAGAAAATATATTAAAGAAAAATTTCTTTTTACGAACCGTTATGAACAGCCCACATAATACGGAAAGCTGGGCCACCAATCTCATCAAAGGGTTTCCGACGTGTTATTACTTCCCAAAGGATAATACCCCAGCTGAAGACATCACATTTTTCACTGTAATTGCTACCTAGAGAAAAAGGTGGTATAATTTTAAGATTCTTTTCCACATGAATTACAGGAACAAATGCCTACACAAATTTTTAAGAATGAGCACTGTGTACAAAAACAGGAAGATACAGCATGTAGAGCTGAGAAATTACTTACTTTTTTTTTTTTTTTTAAAGATTTTATTTATTTATTTGACAGAGACAGAGACAGCGAGAGCAGGAACACAAGCAGGGGGAGTGGGAGAGGGAGAAGCAGGCTTCCTGCCGAGCCGGGAGCCCGATGTGGGACTCGATCCCAGGACCCTGGGATCATGACCTGAGCCGAAGGCAGTTGCTTAACCAACTGAGCCACCCAGGCGCCTGAGAAATTACTTTCTAAAGTACCTTAAGTCTCTGCAACAAAACACTTATTTATGAATTAAGTATTAATGATTAACTTTAGAAAGTCGGTCATTTTCTACCTTTTCGTCGAGAGGCACATGATTTCTCTTTTATTTATTCTGACTTACACTTTCCATGGGGCAGAATATGAAACATTTGTACTTCCCTTTCTGTGATTTTTAAATCTTAAATTTTCTTCCCCCATTCATTCTCTTGATAGAACTACTCTACTATCACTGCAGAAGAGATTTCTAATTTAATGACAAGACTTTCTTTTCAATATCTGGCAAGATAAAATTCTTAATTTGCGGGGTGCCTGGGTGGCTCAGTCGTTAAGCGTCTGCCTTCGGCTCAGGTCATGATCCCAGGGTCCTGGGATCGAGCCCCACATCAGGCTCCCTGCTCCGCGGGAGGCCTGCTTCACCCCTCTCCCACTCCCCCTGCTTGTGTTCCCTCTCTTGCTGTGTCTCTCTGTCAAATAAATAAATAAAATCTTAAAAAAAAAAAATTCTTAATTTGCAAACTTAAAAGTTATAAGCAATGAAAATTATGGATAACAAATTTATAGTAAACAAATTATGCTGCAAAATTTACAGGATCACTAAATTGGGTGAATCAGTACAATAAAGAGCCAAAAAAAACCCCCAAACCCCCCAAACCCACTGTATGAATGATTATAGTGATAATCACACATGTACTTAGCATGTGTACCACACAGGCACTAAGCAGTGCACTGTAAGCATGAAAATGATATTACAATCGAATTTGGGTTATAGGGGCTGACATCTTTCAGAAATGAAGAAATCGGCATAGTCTTATAGTATGAACTTTATTACTCTAAATTTTAAAAGTAACCTTTATTTCTGGCCTCTTTTGTATAAAATAAACCTTTTTGCTCTTTACACTACAGTAATACTATGTGATTTTGACTCACAGAGAGGCATTTTAAATGAATTGTTTTAGGGGTGCCTGGGTGGCTCAGTTGCTTAAGTGTCTGACCAGCTCAGGTCACCATCCTATGGTTCTGGGATCGAGTCCCACATCAGGCTCCCTGCTCCATGGGGAGCCTGATTCTCCCTCTGCCTGCCACTCCCCCTGCTTGTGCGTGCATGCACGCACTCTCTCTCTGTCAAATAAAATCTTAAAAAAAAAACAGTTTTAAACCAATGTATTCTGTATATGAACTTAAAAACAGGAAGCATTATTTAATTTTGTATAATTTAACATTTGCTGGTTTCATTCATTTTTTAATTGAATTTTATGGCAAAACAGCTCCACTCAAGTGACCAACTGCATGGCAAATTTTTCTCGCAGGTGGCTAAAAACAAAGAAACAAAAAAACTTTAAATTCATCAAAAATAAAAGAAATAAGCCATCATCAGAATCTGATTACTAAACATATCTGAATTTTATGGACAGTCATACTTCCTAACATACAAATCACACATCTTCAGTTCAACTTTTCTCACTTAAAAGATAATTTGATGTTTTCATATAGAAAACTATTATGAAATTTGTGGATCATTCTTTTAGAACTTGAGTGAGATATGGAGATGTAAAAAAAATTAAACATAAGCTTATCCTTTGTCTTTCTTAGTATTGTATTTCTGCCAAATAACTTGCATTCCTTCTAAGGCATGCTCATTTACACTGTCAATTTTTAATTGCTAGGAAACCAATACAAAGCACAGTTATTCTTGGTATTTATGTTCTATAAAGTTTCTGTGAAGACTGGACTAGTGAATGCAGTCATTTGCTCGTAGGGGCAATCAGGGTTATGTTCCTGTGAACCTCTTAGTGTCAACTGATCAGTACATAACCTTGTTTTATATGTGTTTCTGTTTAAGACACCTTATTTAATATATATTATAGGGTCATTAACATTGAACTCATGGAACACCACTATAACTCATGCTTGAATAAAGATTAGCTAGCACATGTATTTTCTCTGTTAAGATATATCACAGTCTTGTTATACTTAGGAATACTAGAAAGCACTTCAATGCTGCCCTTGGAGACCATCTTAAACAGTGAAATCACCAACAAAAAGCCCATAAAAAGTGAAAAACAAACAAACAAACAGGGTACTAAGTAGATCATTAAAATGACACAGTATGAGAGCTGAAATAAGAAGGCAGTGTGTTGTCTTGTTCCTCAGCTGGGAACATGTGTTGGATGACTCAAAATTTTCCCCTGCTCTGTACATGCCTGCAAATAACTATGAAAGCACCATGAATACTGATTTTAGGGTTAAAAATAGGCACGTTTTACAGCTGTAATAGGTGGAATGTGAAAATAAGGCTTGATTGTACATACACTTGAACTTGCATAGGACACTGCTATGTGACACAATACAAATCCTGCTATGAGATTTAAGTCTAGGGCTGTACTTATTTACTACCTCCTTATTAAACTTTAATACAGTTGACCTGTGAATACTGATTTGAAATGCAGAGGGTCCACTTAAATGCACATTTTTTTTTGAGAAATACAGTACAATACTATAAATGTAGTTCCCTTACTATTTTCTTAAAAACATTTTTTTCAGTTTATTTTATTGTAAGAATACAGTAATACATCTATAAAATATGTGTTAAAAGATCGTTTATGTTATCACTAATGCTTCTGGTCAACAGTTGTCTATTAGTAGTTAGGTTTGGGGGAGTCAAAAGTTACATGTGGATTTCCAACTGCATGGTACAGTCAGCTCCACTAACCTCAGCATTGTTCAAGGGTCAACTGTATATCCTCTTTCTAGTATGTACTATGCAGAAATAAAACCACTGAAACAGGATAAAGCCATAAACACACACTGGATGTACATGGAGTTAAGAAGGCAGATTATCAATCACAACATGCTTTTGTCATTTACCTTCAAAAACTTCAGGTGCCATCCAAGCAGCACTCCCCTTGTTATTGGTCATATGAGTCTGAATATCACAGGCTGTACCAAAGTCACAGATTTTTAATACTGTCCCGCCTGCAACCAGCAGCAAGCTATTTACAAAAAACAAAAACAAAGGTTGTAAGACCAATACTTGATATCTACAATAAAAGAAGAGACATTTGTGGTTAAGCAAAATGTCATCATTCAACTTTTGTCAAATGCTTCCTGGTCACCCAAATAGCTCAATGGTTCACAGGAATATTAGCAAAAAATAAATGACCTTAACCTAGTTCTCTTAGGGAGACTGCTAGATCCACATTTTGATGTCTCCATCTCTATCTCCATAATCTTTCCTGACCATACATCTCCCTGGGCCAAAATAAAACATAGGGTTTAAAAAAGTCCTAGTAGGTCAACATTATGTGTCCTAAAATGGAAGTAAATGGATATCAATACCTTCGTAAATCACTTGTCCCCTAAACTCAATCTACCTATTGCAGTGTTTTTCAAGCTGCAGGCAGAAACCTAGTCATAAAATTTAAATCATAAAAATCTAGATCAGAGATCTGGAAACCTAAGTCACAAAACTCATTCAGTAGACTATAACAGCATTTAAAAAAATAGAATAGAAAATATCAAAGTGCATCACAATTAGTAAAATTAAATACTGTTTGATGTGTGTTGTTTTATACACATTAATATGCACACATGATAGACTGTGAAGTATTTCTTATTGTGGATCATGGTCCAAATGTTTGCAAACCTGTTTTGTTCTTATTAACCTTATGGTGAACAGAGATAAGTCTTTAGCCTACTGTTGCCAGACTGGTTAGCTGTTCACTGACCCCATTTCCTTTCCCTCCTGGGCATAAAAGATTACCCTTTCCAGACTTCTGAGTAGTTAGATGGCTATATGACCATTCTAGCCAATGGGTTGTAGGTAGAAGTGATGTACTTCACTTTCAAGCCTGGCCATAAAAATCTCCCACATACATATATTCCTTTTCCTTTCCTCATATGCCACTGAATGCAGAGGATTTTGAAACTACAAGGAGCCTGGGATCCTGAGCCACCATGTGAGAAACTCATATGAGTAAAAAAATGGACTTCATATGAGTAAAAAAAATAAACTTGTATTTTGTAAAGCCATGAGATTTCAGAGCTTACCTATTATAACACTGCCACTCTAACCAATGTAAGAAATTGGTATAGAAGTGGATGCTGTTATAACAAAAATCTAATATATTTGATATTAGCTTAGCAGTAGGGAACAAGAACGCTAAAACTGGAGGCTGGAAAGAGAGATCCATGTAATGACATGGCAAAACATCTGGTAAAATTTGTCTCCCATGATAATTTGTGGCCTTGAAGGACTGGAAAAACTGACTGCTTCTAAACACCAAATAGCAGGAAATAAGACTGACAAAGGCCCTTAAGACTCAGTACTGCACCAAAGAACAAATTAAGAGAAAGTACTTCCCACCTACACTTGATGATTTCACGGTGCCTCTGTTCAGTTGAGAAAAGGCAATGTGGCCAGAAATCAAATATACCAGGTTCAAGATTTTGTCTAAGAATGAATTCTGGTAATAGTCATAGGCACATGAAACTGATTGGAACCAGGGAGATCACAAGCCTACTTTTGAGGAAATTAATATTGCCAAAGGAACCACAAATTTCTAATTAAAAGACTTTTGACTGTTTTGAGTCTTACAACAATCCTCAGGACCCCAGATCTACCTAAGCAAGGTGCAGCTGTGAAAACCGCACAGCTTTGGAGGAGAGTATATGCCAATACCCACATCTGACATGGTATGAAGAATGCACAAAGAGAAACCTACAAAAGGGTGAAGCTTGGAGTCATGAGCAATGGATAAGGGAGTTCCTTTTCAAGGGCCAAAGGAAGGTCTGATCAAGACCCCTCTCATAAATCCAGGGCAGAGGGACCAGACAATGCCAAGAAGTCAACCCTACAGACCAGTAACTGCTGTATGCCTCCATGCTTCCCTGTTCCCAGTGGAAACTTTCACTGATTGTCCTGTCTTTCTGCTATTATGTATTGTGTGAGTTGGGAGAGAGGTGACAGATAACTTGTCCTTTTAATTCATTTGTTTCCAAACTATGAGAGGCCACATCCAGACCAGCTGGAGGACCACATGTCATCCTGAGATGTTCATCCTGGATGGTGAACTGGATGGTGACTACAAGAGCCTTGGGGGATGTTTAACTGGCAAAGAGCAGTGTGTGGTTCTAACCTGTGGTTAGAGTGGTAAATACTCTGGGTGACTGGGACTGGCCAGTTGCTCATAAAAGCCATCCCCTTCTTCCTCTGGGGCATACAAGACATTTCCCAACCTGTCTTGTAGGTAATTATACCTAAGACTGAGTTGTGGCCACTGATATGTGGGTAGCGGGAGGGGCACTTCTAGGCCTGGCTCAAAAAACCTCTCGTATGTGATCTCCATTCTCTTTATCTGCTGGCTGAATACGTAAGTTCCCAAAGTCCTGGAGGATGGCAGAAGTACAAGACGGAGGGAGCTTAACTGGGTCCCTGAATGACAATATGGAAGATCATCTGCCAAACAGGAACACCTGTTTTGGATTTCACATGCATGAGCAATAAATTTCTACTGTGATAAGCCCAGTATTAGCTACAGCAGCTGGTGTTAAAACAAGTAATATTCCTATTATGATTCCTTTAAAGAAACTGATACTCAGTCTTAGTTTTTTATATCCCAATGTAACTTATTACTCCTAAAAAAACTGAAATCAATATAAGGCATTTTAAAAGTGTAAAAAGAACTATGAAAGTAAAAGACAATTTTATTGGCTTATTAAAGAGTTAATTAAACATTTAAAAATAAATGCATAAAACACTTTCTATATGATTACCTAAAAAGCTTATAGTCATGTGTAAACAAGAAGTAATTCTACTTGTTTTCTGTAAACAAGTAGAAATAATTCTTTATTTTGAATCCCCTTCAACCACCTTCTCTTACACGCAAAAAGGATTTTTGTTTTATATAGCCAACATTTATTTTAATGTATGTTTATTTTGTTTCACCATTCCTTCTTGAATCTTATACTTGTCTTATGTAATCATTTTCTTTCTTCCCCAAATACCTTCAATTAAGGTCCATTTATAGTGAATTCTCTCGGGTTTTGTTTCAAAACATCTTTAACTCACACCCTCCTCCTTAAAAACTAATTTAGGGCCAGTACACTATTTTCTCTCAGCTCTGTGAAGTTATGATTCCAGTTTTCTAGCTTCCACTAATGGTGCTGGAAACTATACTTGTCTGTCAATCCTTTGTAGATAATCTCTTTTCTGATTAGCTGATTTAAAAATCTCCCTTTTGTTTTTGTTGTTCTGTATCCTAAGGTGTGTCATAGGGTAGACTTCTTTTCATTTATCCTGTTTAGAAATCATACCTTTGTTCAGAAAATCCCTGGCCAATCCCTCTTGAATTATAAACTCTCTCCATCCTATTTTCTTCTACTGGAGTTCTGTGTTGTCTGTCCTGTCTTTCCTTTCCCTGTGATCCTTAACCTATCATTTTTCTCATTTATTTGTTTGTGTTGCATTCTAGGTAACTACAGATCTATCTCACAGCTCATCAATTCTCTTGTCACCTATTTCAGATCTGCTGTTTAAAATTTTTAATTATTCCTAAATGTTGTATTTCATTCTTTTGGCCATTTTAAATAGTTTATTCCTTGCACATTTTAATTCTTCTTTTTAGTAAATAATATAAGCATATTTACATTATATTCCATATTGATAATTCCAAATAACGGGAGTCTTAATATTTGAGGGCTTAATTCTGCTTTGTGTTATTTCTGCTGACTTTTACTCATGGTAACTTGGACCCTTACGGATGTGGTAATTTTTATTGTGGCTTTCTATCTGATTGATTTTAATCTGGAATAATTAAAGGCCTGAACTGAAAACACAGGACTTTAAAATGGAGTTTCACTTACTATTAGATGCCCTGGGACCCTACCAATCCCAAACCTTTTTAATCTGTTTTGTTGGGATTTTTCTTGATTGTGCAAGTAGGGCAAATTCAAACTCACAACAACATGTGGGGAGGCCTCTGTTAAGAAATAAATGTTTGCCAAGTCAGAAAACTGATAATGTTTCTAGCCCACTTTTTTTTTAAAGATTTTATTTATTTGACAGAGAGAGAGAGAGAGAGAGAGAGAGAGAGAGAGCCAGAGAGCACAAGCAGAGGGAGAGGGATAAGCAGGCTCTGCACTGAGCAGGGAGCCTGATGCAGGGCTCGATCCCAGGCCCCTGGGATCATGACCTGAGCGGAAGGCAGACACTTAACCATCTGAGCCACCCAGGTGCCCCTCTAGCCCTCTTTTAAGTTGTTCCCTCCAGGGATCCTAAATTTATGGAGATCTCAGTTCTGCTACTTCACCTGGTGCAGAACAAAGGACCTATCTCCAATTACACAAGAGCCATTAACATGGGGGCTCTACATTTTTGATAAAGACAGTAGAGTCCCTTAGCTTCCATGCTTGGATTAAATTCTCTCAGGATTCAGTGCTTTCCATTTTTTTGCCCTGGTGATTTCCCTTATTTTCTTGTAAAATCACCTAATCATGTAAAAGGATATTTGTTGTCATATGCAGTATCTCTGGGTGTTTGTTGTAGGATGGTTTTTCAGTTGATCTGGTTCGCCATAATGCTGAGTGTCAAAATTCTTACCATGTGAGCCTAAGAATCAAAGCCACATTTCTATACAATCTCTACCAACAAACACATATTGTTAGGATTTAAATGCATAGATAGCATGGCTTAACTTTATGTGCTTTTCAAACTAGGTTATGAAACCTTGGCACTGTATCAGTGTATGCCAGGATAAGTGGCAGGAAGCCTACAGAGTCCTAGGTTAAAGCTAGCAGTTCTCCCTGGGCCATCACTTTTACTAAGTTTTAAGTATTTTCAACATCTTAACATTGACTTTAAAACAAATTACATAATATATGAAGTTGAATGCAAAATTTACATGCAACATTCCTAAAGGAGGGTTATTTGGGCTCTGTACCTAGTCTTAGAACTGCTGAGGTTGTATTATATCATAACTTTGTTCTGGGGGGTAGGAAAGTTTGAGAAGCACCAACTTAGGGCATTAAAAACTTTTCAGATTCTCGAAACATAAAATGATTCAGTAGCATTGTATTTTCTAAAAACAGCTCTATAAATCAAGTCTTCCAAGTCTAAGATTGCTTATAAGACCAAGAATAGTTTCAAGTACTTACTTAACAGGTAATAGGGAGTATTATTTATCTATTAAAAATAAAGAGGTTAAAAAAATAAAGAGGTAAGTATTTGAATACAGTGATATGAAAAGATGTCCATGTAAGTGAAAAAAAAGCAACATTATATACAGTATAACCCATACATGGTTAAAAAACAAAACAAAATAGTGGTTACCTCTGAGGAATAGGAGGCAGGGAAGACTTGCTTTATATTTTTCTAACTATTTGAATTTGTTTTTAATCACGAACATATATTATTTGAAAATAACAACATATAATTAAAAAAAAGTAAAATAAACCTATAAGGAAGAAGGAAAAAAATAGTCCTTACAATCACCAAGTATGATACCCTTATTTAGGTTTTCCTCTTGATGACAAACAGAAATAAAGATAAGTTGTACCATCACACTGTAGTAATATTCAACAGCGGTATATGGGGTCCATTGAAATTAAAATTTTAATAAATTCTTTGTATATAATTTTATACTAAAATGCTAACTGGAGAGATTATTTAGAAATTTGTTTCTTTTTAGTCCAACATGACTAGGATAAACCAGATAAACTGCTATACACATCTCCATAATGTGACAAATACTCCTATGATAACTGAAGTGGAAAGAATGCTAGGGCCATCTGGGTGGCTCAGTCGTTAAGCGTCTGCCTTCGGCTCAGGTCATGATCCCAGGATCCTGGGATCGAGCCCTGCATTGGGCTCCCTGCTCAGCCCCGCATCGGGCTCCCTGAAAAGCCTGCTTTTCCCTCTCCCACTCCCCCTGCCTGTGTTCCCTCTCTCGCTGTCTGTCTCTGTCAAATAAATAAATAAAATCTTAAAGAAAAAAAAAAAAAGTGTAAAGAATGCTAAATGCAATTTACCTTTATATGCACTTCAACAAAAAATTTCGTTTTACTGTTCTTGTTCCAGCTCTAACTACTCTTTACCCAAGAAAAGAACTGTAACTGGTTTTCCTTGTTTCATCTTGGTAGATTCAAGATAATTTTCTGAATGACTTTTATATTATTACTATTTCATAATTAGTACTCCTTCACTAAGATTTTAATAGGTCACCAGCCATGAGCATGACATTTAAGGCTCACTGAAATATGAACCTAAATGGTCTTTGTAGGCTTACGTTCACAAGGCTGGGACCAAAAACACACTTTTATTTCCGAAGTACATGCGAATGAACCTGCAAAAGATGAATAAAATAGGGGCACAAGCACAAGTTGATATTATGTAAAATACCCAACCAAATCATCAGGTGCCTTCTTTATATGCCACTATGAGACCTCCTTTTGTGAGATATTTTCATGTATATCGTTTAACAATAGTCAGTTATTCCAAAGCCAAGATATGACATAATGCAGAAGAAAAAGGATACTTCTGAGAGTCCCATCTGATAGTTTCTGGCTCTTCCAGGAAAAAGATGCTTTGTACCTGATGCTACTGGTCACTTTGTTGCTGGATAAGAGCTATGATTCTCATGAATTTGTTTTGATAATTCAGCTGTGTGTTATTAAGAGGAGCAAAAGAGGACTGAATCTTCATAAAAAGGAAAAAAAGACAAAGTGATTTCTTCTTCACTAGCCAAGATAGGTAGCTAAGGCAATAGCCTCAAGGAGTCAAGTTAAAAAAATAAAAGTGTCATGAACCTGGGTCTTAAACATTATTTGACCAGGGACCTGGGGAAAGAGAAATCAGTTTAAGTCTGAGAGTAGAAATAAGGTACACTAGTGAGAACAGTCATTCCAAGAGCTGAAACCTATGTAGAATGTATCAGATTAGACATGAGAGTGACAAGATGTACCCAGAAGGGATACTTTAAAGCTACCTGTATCAAGAGAATGCAATACTTGAGACTGATTACCTACGGGAAACCTCTTATATGAGGACTGATGTGGTGATGGGGGAGTGGGGAGAGAGAGAATGGCATGTGGACTTTTTTTTTTTACTGTCACAAGTGGATAAAGAAGAAATAAAATCAGAGAGAAAAGGGGACAATACCACATGTATGTTTCCTTTAATTGAGTACCTATGCAAACAAAAAAACCCCCAAAGTTTCAGCCTTTTAAAGTACTTATTTAGGAAGTTTTGAAGTTCTTTCAAAGTCCTAGGATCCTAAATATGAGGAAATCCAGAATATTTCAATTTCTACCCAGATGCCGGAAATATCCTTTTGCCTTCCTCTAAAATGGCAAATAATAACCACTCTGTAAATTTTAACCATTCTGTAAAGAATGTCTACTACATGTGGACATTGTACTAGCTATTAGGAACATAGTGGGGAATAAGACAAATTTGTTTCTGCTCTTACGGAACTGTCTGGGGGCAACAATATATACAGCAGGCACAAAATAAGATTTATAGGCTAACCAATTGTAGAAGTATGCTAATCTACAGCAGGAGTTATTAAAATAAAAATCTGACTAAAATTAAAATCCTACTAAAGACAACATTTTAAAATGCAAGCTTAGATAAATGACTAAAAATGAAGGTGAGTTAAAAATAAACACTCTCAAACAAGCCAAAAGGGAAGAGAAAAGAGAAAGTCAAGTGCAACAATTAGCTTGAATTAGGAAGTGGGCGGGGGGCTGGGGGGTGTGGGGGAGAGAGAGATAGACACCACACTATTAGAACTTACTTTGGTGGTTTCAGGTCCCTGTGAATTAGAGCTTTGGGTTGCATGCTGTGAAGATAAGCCACTCCTTGGGAACACTGTAAACACCAACTCATTGCATGGGCAGCAGTGTAATATGGCAATGGTTCAGCACCATGCAGCACTGCAAAAGAAAGGCACAAACTAAAAAGAACTTTATTGCATATAACAAAAGACACAAGGTGAATGTGAGCACTACTGGAACACATGACTGGGTATTTTTCTACACATGCTCCCAACAGTCCTGCTTTTAATTCTTTCCTAAATACAAAGATGGAAATATCTAATAATTTCAAATGGGTAACTACCACATAAGTACCTAAAATGTAATAGTACTTCTATTAAATGTTATACATACACTCTAGCAAAATTAATATGAATTACCACACTTTTCCACATTGACAGTCTTTCACACAATAATATAAATTATAAGCAATGTGATGGCATGCTACTGTAGGAGAGATACAGAGTAGTACAAAAAGAAATAAAACAAAGTGTATCAAGATGTTTACAATTATGCTTTCTACAATAGCTAAAAACTAGAAATAGTTCAACCAAGTAAGACAATGGAGTATTAGAGATACCCATTAACAATGATGAACACATGAGCAGTAAATATAAATAAAAATTTAAGTAAAATGTTAATTTAAAAAATAAAATGCAACCATTTATTTCATATAAAGGCAACAATTAATATATTTACTATATGGCTGGTGTTTCTTAAGAGTGAAAAAGTTAGTTCTGTTCTATAAAAATAACTAAATGACCTAGTTTCTTTCATTGTTATAATTAAAATGTTTTGTGAAGTCAGTTTTCACAATTTTATTTTTTGTAAAGACAGCAATTTAAGCAAAATGAAATGGAAGAAAGTATGGCTAAAGAGTTCTCAAATGAGGAGGCTCAAAGCTAAGAGAGGGCAAAAAGAAAAACATTAAAAGTATGAAGAGATTTAAAAATCTATTTAAAAAGCAAATTTTACTTCACTTAAATGCTTTTAACATCATGAAAAGTACCATCAATTGAAAAGATTGATATACTTAGACTTCTAAATTTCACATACTAATGTTGTAGCATCTCATTTTTTCATTTCTAATTTTAGATTTTTTTTAAATTACCTCCTTTTGAGATTCTGAAGGTAAACTGTGAAGAACATTAAGTAACTAACGGTGTGTATTAAAAGCTTTTCAATGATTTTACTCTGCTAGATAAAGACAGGTCTAATGACACTCACCATTATATAAAGAGCCCCCTTCAGCATATTCCATCACAAGACACACCTAAAAGAAACATATGTCAGTATAATAATTAACCACAGGGCTGTAACATCTTAGGTGACTTGAGAGATAACTGAGTTCAATCTTTAATTTTATAAATGCATTAAAAATTATTCTTTTGGTCCCCACTATGTGAATGGTACTAATGGAAAAAGAAGGGGATCTATGATCTAAGGCCTTGTCTTGTAGGGGCCCACTGTCTAAGAGTGGGGGTGTATGTAAAAACATAATTGCAAGTCCTCTGAGAACTTTCTCCAGTGCTGAGTAGATGCTGTCGCAGAACATCATAAGCCTCATAAGATGAGGTTATTGGATAAGACCTCCCAAGATAACTCCCCTCCAATACACTGTGCTGCTAACAGACTAGAAACAAATATATAAAATCTAATTTTTTAAAAAAATAACAAAACAGATCAAAATAGTTTCATAAACTACACACCTGCAAACATTTACTATGTCAATGCTTATAAAGAGGTGACAATGAAAAAGTGACAAACTTACGGGATTCAAGCAGGCTCCATATAGCTTTACAATATTAGGATGGTTCACACGGGATAACTGTCGAAGCTGTAACAAATTAAGGTTTCTTTTAAAAGATGCTAGCTTTTGAGGACCTGATTACATTACATCATTACAATTTCAGGGTGTACAAAACATCAGTTTAATCATTCAACCATCATTATTTCCTATGTAGCAGGCACTGTGGTATAAATGGCTGCCCAGAATGGCAAAGATTCCCTGCCCTAGAGCTCTCACACTTTACTTGGGAGACAGGCATGTAAATAAATAATTAAGCCCAAATGCAAAGTGCTGTAACAGGAGTTATGAACAAGCCACGATAAGTACAAATAAGAAAAAATAAACTTTAACAAGAAACATTAGGACACCGTCCCAGAGATGGCACTGAACTTAGTTATCCAAGGCAGAAGAATCTATGTCACTGTCATCACCTTCAGAGCTATGGCTGCACAGTCTACCTAACTCTGTGCCAGGCCCTGGTGGGCACTTGATAGATTCTGTTTAATTCTCACAACTCTGCAAGAGCGGTACTGTCATTTCTACCTTTAAGAAAAACGGACCTTTAAGATAAGGCTCAGAGAGGGTTAAGTGAGTGGCTAAATATCCTACAGCTACCGCCAGGCTTTGAACTTTGGTCCATCTGACTTAAAATCTGCACTCTTTCTGCATATGTGTATTGTCTTCTCTACGTCCTTCTCCCATCTCTTGAATTAACTGCCTTCTGTCCATTCCCACGATCACTGCCTTAGTAATTCTTCCAACATGAACTGCTGCAGTAATTACTAGGGTATTTTCCTAGCTGTATTCCCTACTTCCTTGTGGTAGTACCAGGTACCTATGCAAATAGTCCTCCCCAATCCAAAGAATCACACCAAGGTCAGTGAGAGGTTTGGCTGTACTGTGTCTCTCTTGCTCTACACTTGAAACTTCTATTAATGTGTCCCTCCAAACTGCACCTTACTCTCTTTCTTCTCCTCTCTTTTCCCCTCTCTTCCTCTTCTTCTCTATTATCCACACTATACTGCTGGCTCATATGAAGTCCACTAAAGTAAACCTTTTTACTATATGCTACTAGAAAGCTGTATTTCTCTACAGTGAACATTTGTGTATTTTCAGTCCTAACACAACAATTAATATCGCTATTTATTATATTCATTTATTATACACAAACATATATTTATTATATTTCATCTTCTAAAGGTTTAGCACTGAGGTTCGGATAGCAGCTTATGTAAGCATTTATTTCTGCTCCTTCCCCAAATCCCACCAAGATATTAAAGGCATTTTTTCAAGGCACAAATTCAGAAGAATAAAGAGAATGTGAAATGAGAAAACAGCACACATTTTTGGAAGTTGGAAAGCAAATGACTAGCAATAACTGACACAGCAGACTTAAAAAAAATGAGCAGAAGTGAGCAGAAACTAGATTAAGCTCATAAAACCTCCAAAGGGTTGGGACTGGTGGTAGTACCAGGTACCTATGCAAATAAGCCAACAAAGGAACAGAGAGATTAGCTGAAAGGCAGACCAGATTCTCTCCCTTCCTGACTTCAGTTTAGTGACTGCCTCTTTATCATCCCAACAATTAGAGGTTGATTCTTTGATATAACAAAGAGTCTCTGGATTAGGGGACACCAAACAAAACTAAGGGATGAACTCAAAGTAGTTGCCTCTGAGAAGCAGAAAACTTGATGGGAGGAGGTCTAGGGGATTAAAGTTTTTAAAATAAGACTATGTGGAGAACTATTTGAGAATCTGAATTACCTGTACATATAACCTCGATAAAATTTTTTCATCCAAGCTATTATAATCTTTTTGACTCCTAATTCTTAGCATTTAACACATATGCTTTTAGCTAGTTTTGTGAAAGTGCCAATGCACTTTTAGACCTTATCTAAACCATAAACAAAAATCATGAATAAGGCAAGGCTGAGGCCACTCTTGGAGCACTGTACCAGAGATCATCTTTTCTTCATGAGGACCCCAAACTATCAGCATTTCTCAACTCATTCAATTAATTACAAAAATCCACTTTATCGTATCCTAAGTTTTCATTCTCCATGTTATACATTTAAAAATATCATAAAGTATATTTGCAAGTTATAATTAAATACAATCACAGATATAAATTCAGAAAGGTTTGTAAGGTAAAGACCACTTATCCATTGGCCAATGAGGAAAAAAACCCACAAATTTAAGGAACTGCCGTCATCTAATATACAAAATAGTATAAAATTAATAAAGAATAAATCTGACAATACAATTACTATTGATTATTGAATTCTCCTTCATCATCAAATCCGTAAGAGAACAGAGTTCTAGATTTTCATGCTAAATGAGAAAAAAATTAAATTTAAAATTATTTCCCTGTAAAGTGATCTCATTTGAATTTCTAAAAATATTCAGTCAAAAATGAATGCATAAAATTTCCCTTCTTAATTTTAGATAATGGGAGAGAATACCATTTCCTTTCTATTTTAAAATTTAAATCCTATGCCTTGAAATAGATCTGAATTACACGGATGAGACTGTATTTTAATTCAGGGATGAATTCATTTATGTAGTTAAGAGTCTTCCCCCCCCAATTTTTAATCAGAATTAAGAGTGTGAATGAAAAATGTTTCTACAGCATTATCTTTGGTTCAACCAAATTGCTGAGGTTCAAGTATACAGAGAAATGACAACTGGGAAACAACTTTTTCATAATATTAAATTCACAGAGTATCTTAGGTAAAGAATTATATATTAGAAACAACAATTCAACTTACCTCTACAATAAAAGCTTTCCTCTCAGATTCACTTTCTATTTGTTTAATAGCAACATCTTTTGCTCTCCACTTAGCTTTGCAAACCACTCCAAAGGCTCCTCTTCCAACAACCTGAGTTAAAACAAAACAAAAAACAAAAATACCCATGAGAATCAGAAATAAATAGATCCTGCCCAACATATAAACACTGAAGCTGACGTGAAAGACTTATTAAAAGATTTAGAAATCACCACTATCTGGATTTGCCACCGAGCAAGTATAAAGTTTCATTAAAGTGAAGAAATAATGAAATGAACTTATCTCTATCTTTTTGAAAGTTTATGGTTTAGACAGCTCTTCACTGTCAGGTAAAACCAAACAACAAACAACAAAGACTCTTGGAGCAAGGAAACAAATTAAAACAGACAAGATGAGGGAGAGGATAGAAAGATGATGTTTGGGAAAATAAATATAAAAAGCAAGAACATATAATCAATGTTTTTAAGCTATTTAAAAACAGCTTTTGAATAATTCAGTAGGGATATGAAATGGAGGTGAAAGGATAAAAATACAGATGATAAAAGACTGGCCACTGTGAAGGCAAACAAAACATGGTAGCACCTATACAACAGAATACATTCGTCAAGAGAAAGAAATGAACTACTAATTGATACATGCTACAATATGGATGAACACACTATGCTAAGTGAAAGAAGCTAGACATAAGAAACCACATATTGTATGATTCCATTGACATGAAAAGGCAAATCCATAGAAACAGAAAGTAGATCAGTGGTTGCTTGGTACTGACAGTGAAAACTGGGATTAACTGTAAATGGGTAGGATGAATATTAATTAAGGGGATGAAAATGTCTGAAAACTGATTTATGGTGATAGCTGCATAACTTGGTAAATTTGTACAAATGGCTAAACAGGTCAAGTGAATGAATTTTATGATATGTAAAATATCTCATTAAAGTTATTTTTGAAAGTTCTAAAGTAAAGATTGGCCATATGTTGTATTACTATTGACAGCTAAGTGATGGGTACCTCATGGGTTCATTGCTCTCTCACACTATGTTTTCTACTTTCACATATGTTTGAAATTTGCCGTAAAATAAAATCAACAAAAGAACAGCTTTGATCCTTGTAAAACAAAATCATTAGATTTTTATAACTGTAAAGGATCTTAGTTAAGTGTCATCTACTCCAATTTTTCAGCTTCCAATGTATCTAAGTACTTTGTGTCAATGTTTTTTCCTTAAGTGAAATATCTACCTCTCTCTTTAGATACATTACCTCATTTACACAACCACAGGAGATAGGTACTAATGCTATTCTTATTTTACAGATAAAGTAACCTAGTTTTAAAGTAAACTAACTTGTCCAAGGCTATATTAGTAAAGAGCAGTTTGATGCCAGACAGTTTAACACCAGAATGTTAAGGATCCTAATATACACACATATATCTCTATTCTATGTCAGAAAAGTACCAGTTATCTTTCCTCGGAGAAATTTTCACTTTAGACAAACTTACAAGAACAAATCCCTGGGCACAAAGCTCTTCTGTAACAAAGCTGGGTATATTTACATCAGAACTCTTTTTAGAGTAAGAAGAAAGTGCTAATAACTACCAGGACAGTAGCTTGAAACTGGGATGTATGGCTACTCTAGCCATAGCTCAAATTCTATTTCATACATTACACAAAGCAGTATGGATATTTCTCATGTTAAATAATGTATAAAACTACCCAAATGGTTAACCATGTACCAGGTACTAGTCTATGCACTTTTCATGCATTAACACATGCTTCTCTATTTTATTTTGTCATCTCTAAGTATTTTTTTAAGTTTTTAATTTTAATTCCAGAATAGTTAACATACACTGTTATATTAGTTTCACGTGTACAATACAGTGATTCAACAATCCTACACATTATTCAGTGCTCATCATGGTAAGTGTACTCTTTAATCTCTGTCACCTATTTCACCCATCCCCTCTGGTAACCATGTTTGTTCTCTACAGTTAAGAGTATGTTTCTTGGGGGCGCCTGGGTGGCTCAGTCGTTAAGCATCTGCCTTCGGCTCAGGTCATGATCCCAGGGTCATGGGATCGAGCCCCGCATCTGGCTCCCTGCTCGGCGGGAAGCCTGCTTCTCCTACTCCCCCTGCTTGTGTTCCGTCTCGCTGTCTCTCTCTCTGTCAAATAAATAAAAATCTTAAAAAAAAAAAAAAAAAAAAGTCTGTTTCTTGGTATGTCTTTTTATTTTTCCTTGGTTCGTTTGTTTTGTTTCTTAAATTCCACATATGAGTGAAACCATATGGTATTTGTCTTTGACTGATTAGCTTGGCAGAATACTCTCTGGCTATATCCAGGTTGTTGCAAATGGCAAGATTTCATTCTTTTTTATGGCTGAATAATATTCCTGTGTGTGTGTGTGTGTGTGTACACGTACACACACCACATCATCTTTATCCATTTGTCAGTCGATAGACACTTAGGCTACTTCCATATCTTGGCTATTGTAAATAATGCTGCAATAAACCTGGGGGGGGGCATGTATCCCTTTGAATTAGTTTTTCATATTTTTTGGGTAAATACCCAGTAGTGCAATTACTGGATCACAGGGTAGTTCTATTTTTAACTTTTTAAAGAACTTCTGTACTGTTTTCCACAGTGGCTATACCAGTTTGCATTCCCACCAACAGTGCATGAGGGTTCCTTTTTCTCCACATCCTCACCAATACTTGGTCTTTCTTGTTGTTTTTGATTTTAGCTACTCTGACAGATGTGAGGTGATATCTCATTATATCTGATTTCTCTGATGATGAGTGATGTTGATCATATTTTCATGTGTCTGTTTGGCCATCTGTATGTCTTCTTTGGAGAAATGTCTGTTCGTGTGTTTGGCCCATTTTTTAATTGGGTTGTTTTTGGGTGGTGAGTTATACCTCTTGTAAGAGAAAGAAACCAACATCAGTCATTTGCACTAGTCATCCAGTTACTTTAACATGAATGGGTACTGGCTAAACCTGGCACCACCAGAGTAAGGGAAAGAGCACATCTGGGCTCTAAACCCCAACAGACTTGAGTTTGAATATAGGTTCTGTCTACCTATTAGCTATTAATGCTGGGGAGATTAACATCTCTGCGCTTCTGTTTTCTCAACAGTAAAAGGGAGATGCTTACAGTGTCCTCCGTGATATTTATAGGGTTCATAAGAAAGCCAAAACCATGCATTCTCTTAAATCCTACAAAAGAATAAGTGCTTAGAGTTAGGTATGAATCAGTGTAAGGAGCTATATTACTCATTTCTCTCACAATTAGCCATAATGAATAGCAAACAGGTCCTAAAACAAATTTCAACTTTATGGCAACATTAGGCTAAGAAGGTATGGATGGAGACCAGACTATCTATTGATATTACTATGAGATAACGATTATGAATTTAAAATATTCTTCAACCATGTATTTAAAAATACCTCACAGCAACTGGTACTTAGTAGGTCTCCTCCTGTTTCATTTTCCTATTCTCAGGAACGTCCATGCAGGAATTCCAAACATTACATTTGTGGATCATTCACTTGTCATAAAAACTGTTAGGTATTATATGACTAGTTGTGATCCACAAGTGCCATCTAGTGCTGAGATAATGGCTGAGTCTGAATTTTCAACTTAAAATCATGGGAACATAATGTGGACAAATGAGGATATGATAAACTTTCCTCCATTTGCTTAAGGAAGCAATTTTTGGGAATACTTTGAAATATAAAACAGGCATATACATGTAAGATGAGGGCCCATGGCTTTAAGAAGCCTCCACTCATGTTAGGGCTATAAGATACTTCACATATATAGTGAAACAACAGATACAAAATGATAGTAAAGAAAGTATAAGATATCTAAAGGTTGTATACATAAACTGAAATGCATGATAAAAAAAAATAACTGCTATAAATTCAAAGGAGTGACGTTAGAAGCACAGAGTCAATGCTTAAAGAATTAAATTTCTGTGTATCTAATGATTCTGATCGCCAATTCCAGTGAATGAAGGGGACTTTCTCCACACCACCAAGCAATGCTCAGATACCAGCTGCGTATCTTATAATTCAGTTCAATTCTGACACTATCTACCTGGACATAGCATCAGATCCTGCAGGTTAAGGGCTCAGTTCTATAAGACTGCCCCTTCCTCCCACAAACTTCAGATGCCAGTCACAAGCCCAGGTGTCACTTGTGCTTCTAATCAATGGTTACAGATTGGAGGTTCCAATGACTCCCTCCTTGGGGTCACTTAATTTGCCAGAATGGCTCATAAAACTCAAACATTTTACTTACTAGATTACCAGTTTATTATCAAAGGATATAACTCGGGAACCGCCAGATGAAGAGAACCATAGGGTAAGGTATGCGGAAAGGGTGCAGAGCTTCCGTGAGCTCTCCAGGCAAGCCACTCTCCTAGCACCTCTACGTGTTCACCAACCTGGAAGTTCTCTAAACACTGTTCTTTTGGATTTTTATAGAGGCTTCATTAGACAGGTATGATTGATTAAATCTCTGGTCACTGGCAAGTGATCTGACCTCCAGCCTCTCTCCTTTTATCTCCTCTCCCCTCCTTGGAGGTCAGGGGGATGGAACTGAAAGTTCCAACCTTCTAATCACAAAGTAGGTTCTCCTAGCACCAGCTCCCATCCTTTGGTAGGGTTCAAAAGTAGCCTCATTAACATAACAGAAAGAGAGAGAGAGATAGAGAGAGAAACATTTTTATATCTCTCTTCACTTAGGAACTTCTGAGGGTTTGGGGAACTGTGGGCCAGGAACTGTGAAAAAGGCCAAATATATATAAGAAATATACTATTTGGTCATTCAGAATGCAGTATAAAAAAAACCTCCCATTTTCTCAAAAGGCATAAATGTAGAGACATTAAGAGTAACAAGAAATAAAGATAAAGAACTAACCTTGTGAGAGAGAGAAATAATAAGACAAAACAACAGTGTTAAAATAATTTTTTAAATACTTAACAGCTGAAGTGAGCCAAAGGTGAGTCTGTGATAGTGGCTGAAGAAACACCCCCTCCCCTTCAGGGATAGGCTTAGGGATTCAGGATAGGTTTAGGGATTTGAGGGCGGA